GGTTACATTAATGAACTGGGAATTAAAAGAAAGGGGAATGAAAGTGAACGCAAGTAAGACGAAAGTGATGGTTTTTGAAAGAGAAGAAAGCAAAACGGTATGTGAAATAAGAATAGAAGGAGAGTTGATTGAGCAAGTGGATGAGTTTGTGTATTTGGGATGTGTATTTAGCAGGGATGGTAGATATGATAGGGATATAGAACGACGAGTAAATGCAGGGAATAGAGTGAATGGGGCACTACACTCTATTATGAAGAACCAGAATTTATCAAAACAGGCACGTATGGTAATTCATAATGCGGTGTTAGTCCCTACTTTAATGTATGGTAGTGAAAGCTGGGTGTGGCAGAAGAAGCACGAAAGTAAAATAAATGCTGTAGAAATGCGGTCTTTAAGGAATATGCTAGGGTGTAATCTGAATGACAGGGTGAGAAATTGCGTGATAAGAGATAAATGTGGTATGCAAGATGATGTTGTGACCAGGATTAAGAAAGGAATGCTTCGGTGGTTTGGTCACGTAGAAAGAATGAATGAAGAAAGAGTGACAAAGCAAATTTATATGGCAGATGTGAATGGCCGAGTCGGGAAGGGACGCCCTAGGAAAAAGTTTATCGACCAAATTGGCGATATTTTGAAAATGGGCCACGTTAGAAGTACCCTTAACCGACGAGCATGTATGCGTAGATATATGGATGTGAAGGAGGCGAAAGAGGTATGTCAGGATCGTGCCAAATGGAAGTCCGTAGTCTCTGCCTACCCCTCTGGGTGACAGGCGTGAGTGTTTATGTATGTATTATGAATAAAACTATTATTTACGGATTTTATCGCGTTTAATTACTTTAATTTATTTTTATTATTATCCCGACGTTTCGGGTGCTTTACTAATAATAATAGTAGTAATGGACGCGTCGGAATATAATTTTAAAATACAACAACTTTTATCGGACGAAAGTACATATAAAAAGGTCAAAACAGACCCTACAACTAACACGCTTAAAACAACTAGCGATTTAATAAAGAAATACTCCGAAAAATTAAATCTCGACGTGAATTCGCTAATACCATCATGTGCCAAACCACCGAGGTTGTATGGGTTACCGAAGATACACAAACCAAACGCTCCACTACGTCCCATAGTGAGCCAGATCGATTCACCAACTTATAAGCTGGCACAATACTTAGCAAAAATACTATCACCACTAAGAGGACATACCAGAGCACACACAAAGGATTCATACCATTTTGTGAGTGAGATAAAAGACCTACATCTCGCTAACAATGAAACTATGGTCAGTTTTGATGTTCAGTCACTATTTACATGCCTACCTATTGTGGACTGCATCTCAATTGTAACTAGGAAGCTAGAAGAAAATAACATGCCTCAAGAATATGCAACACTACTTGAACATTGCCTCACATCTGGCTATCTATTGTGGAAGGAGGAGTTCTACAAGCAAGTAGATGGTGTGGCGATGGGCTCACCTGTGTCTCCCATAGTCGCCGACATATTCATGGAGGACTTTGAGGAGAAAGCCCTTCTTACTGCTCCTGTAAATCCAAGGTTCTACAAGCGGTACGTAGACGACACTTTCACAATTTTACCATCTGACAAAGTAACTGCATTTTTAGACCACCTTAACTCCATAAACTCTAAAATACAATTCACAATGGAGTTAGAGGCAAATAATTCGTTAGCTTTCCTAGATGTTTTAGTCATCCGAAATCCTGATAACACTATTGGTCACACTGTGTATAGGAAAAAGACCCATACCAACCGATATTTAAATGGTGAATCTCACCATCATCCTTCACAGTTAGCTACCGTGGGTAAATCTTTGTTTCAGAGAGCACGAGGGATCTGTGACAGAAAACATCTGGCCGCGGAGCTTCAGCACGTCAAGCAAGTATTGCAAGACAACAAGCTTCGGGTCCCGCGCCTACGTCACAGTGAACGAGTGAAGCCGGCCACAGTCGAGCGCGCGCCTGCCCTACTACCATATGTTAGAGGAGTCACGGACAAGATTGGCTACATCTTGAAGCGAGCGTCCATTAAGACATACTACAAGCCGCAGAAGAAGATTAGTCAATTTTTACCATCCATCAAATGTAATATTCCTCTACAAGATGCAGGTGTGTATAAGCTAGATTGTGAATGTGGTCTCTCTTACATAGGTCAAACAAAGAGATCTATAAAAACCCGCGTGAAGGAACATATAGCTGATGTGAAGCACCGACGCTCCGGGAAGTCTGCAGTCTGCGAACATGTTCAAGATCGTCCCCACCATTACATTAGATTTGATAAACCACAAATTCTCGCAAAAGAACACCGATTCCTACCAAGGATGATACGCGAAGCTATTGAAATTAAAAAACATCCAAATTTCAATAGAGAAGATGTTTGGGTGCTACCATCTGCTTGGGATCCTATAATTAACAAAATTAAACCCAAACCCAAGCATACCACTGCAAGACTTCATGATACTATAAGCTCGTTTTGCGTAAATCGGACCAAAAATTAATATTAAAAAACTGAAGGTAGCCGGACTAACTATGCCATTGGGACGTCAAACATCTCAGTCCCCCCCCCGTGACCATGGGCGCTGTAAAGCACCCGAAACGTCGGGATAATAATAAAAATAAATTAAAGTAATTAAACGCGATAAAATCCGTAAATAATAGTTTTATTCAATGTGTAGTGTTCGCGTAAATTTAAGAAATCATTATTTTAAGAGCAGTTTTGCATTTTTAATCTTATAAAATATTCTAAATTGAGCTGGTAGATCTACCAATTTTGCATTTTACATTCTACCAACTTCTACCATCTGGCGCATAATCTACTTTTCTAAAATTCGGGTAGGCAGCATTGGTACCTGTGTACGTTAGTATTACTTTCCTCTATGGTTAGTATCATACAGTCTCTAGTATATACCGTAGACAGAAAATCCTAGCATTCTCTGTCTACGATATATACAGTTATACAGTAATCTATGGGTGCGTTTGGCAGAAAAAAGCGCTAGCAAGCGCTTATAAGCGCTGAAATAGTTTTCGGCCAGGACACGATTGCTACTTCGGTAGCGCTGACACAATCCGCCATTTTGCTTATTTAATTTGTTTGTTTTGAAGTAGAGTTTATAAGTAGTTTTGTGCAATATTAGTTTTAAGTAATATAATGACATGAATAAACATATACATGTTATTAAAAATTCATGATTGGTAAGTTTTTAATATGAATACTTTACAAACATATATTTAAATTAGGTTAGGTTCCCAACATCGTGTCCTGGAGGAAAATAGCTACTTACGATTTGACAGCGCTTACCGCTTACGATCGCCATTTTGCTTACAAGCGCTTGCTAGCGCTTTTTTCTGCCAAACGCATCCTATGTATACAGTAATCTATGGTTAGTATGATAATAACAACCTAGTAATGATAACAATTCACAAATCACTATATTTACAAGTTCACAACAAGTAAATAAATATTAGATTTATAAAATTTGAAAAGATACAACAAATTTTGTCGATCTAATTAACTATAATAAATTAAGGTGCGTATTTTCAATATCTACATTTTATATATGTTTATGGTATATGTGTAATGTTTATTATAAATTGTACTTAATTTAAATTATGCGTCTTTTTTTTAAAAACTAACAAGTGCTATTAGTTTAAAAAAATGACTTTTATTAAATTTCATAATAATTGAAATGAACTGTAAACCTTATCAGATTTGAGTTCATAACTAAATAAACCTACGCACTCGGTTGTTGGCAGGGATATCGAAATTTTAAATCTTTGTGTTATCTTTAACTGTCGTACCTGCAATCTGATTTGATTTTATTCATAGATTGTACATATGGTATATTTGAGGCGAAATGTAAATAATGTGTATGGTATATTTGACTGCCTCGTTGGTCTAATGCTTGTGGTAGTGCAACTGCTGATCATGAGGTCCTGGGTTCTAATACCGGGTCAGGCCAAAAAATCAATGATAGAGTTTTTTCCATCAAGAAATTCTCAGTAGCAGCCCGGAGTCAGTAAGTTGGCAGTGTCTCACCCCCTCAGAAAGCACATAAAATTGTTGGTCCTGTACCTGATCTTTCTCCGGTCGTGTCAGTTTACCGTCCCATCAGATTATGAGAGTGAGGGAATAGAGAGTGCACCTGTGCTTGTGCATATGCTTGGGCACTATAATCCTGTCCTGCGCCGATGGCTAGTCTCCATTGAGGCAGGCCGCTGTGACCGAAATTCAGTCTGGAGGACATTATATTTGAAGATTTTGATATCTAACTGTAGTGTGAGGTCCACTAACTCTTATAAAGGTAATAAATTTAGCATTCTTACTATTCTGATGATGCAGTGTATGTAGACTGCATATTCCCAAAATAAATACTCTGCTAGCCAGCATGTTCTTAAAAGCTATCCCGACATCTCTGACTCAAGCAACAATTTCTCAAATTTTAAAATTTAAAATAATTATGTTGCATATTCATACCTCAGATAAATAATATTTTTTTTAAGAAAAATCAAAGAATATTTTAAAATTATTCCTTTTTTCTGTCATCAGATGTTTTTGGGTCTGTTTCTTACTCAAATGTTAAATACAAATTTTATATTTTATTTTTAACATCCATCTTAATTATAAGTACTACCTAAATAAAATTCATTGAAAATTGTAAAAATAATTTTATTTCTTCATCCTAGTTATATAATGGCTAATATGTGCAGTAGTGTTGATTATCCCATTTAATATTTTTATAACTTTCAATGAAAGTGCCTTTACAGTGTTTTAATTTATTAAAGAGTATGTATGATAAATGTATTGTGCAGTCAAGAGTGAATTTTTTTGTGATAAAACTGATTTATGTTATCTAATCTTGTTCACAGCCATGTTAGTAATACGGCGACAGTTCCTTAGGTTGTTTAGGCTACGAAATTTGCTTATGTTGACCATATTGGTCATACTGCTGTATATAATGAAGACTTTCCATAATATTAATATGGTAAATAGTGACTTGCAAGGAAAAGCAGCTGTTGTTAAATATTCAGATCCTGAAAGAGATTATTTTGTACCCACCAGTCATAAGGTAAGCTTTGCGTTATGTTTTGGTCATTTCTATAAAAAGAAACTTAAATTACAATTTAAAGATGACTCATACTAGACCATGTCGAGCCCGAGCCGATTGTCGTCCGTAGCACGGTCAAATAATATTACATATATTTTGTATGGACACACTCATGCTATACTGAGCGGCAACCAAGTGACGGCCAAGCAACAGAAACAGAAACAAACTTTTTTATTCAATGTAGATTATAACAATACTTATTGAAAGTCATTATTTTCATTTACCACTGGTTCGCAAAATAAACCTCTGTCCTGGGAAGAACCAGCAAGAAACCCAGCGGGACTATTTTTTCCAATAACAGATTACAATCATGTTTACAATTAACAACACAAGACAAATTAGAAATAGCTTGGGAGCAATCACCCTTCCCAGGGGTTAATTATCATCCATAAATTCCTTAATATTATAATAACCCTTTTTATACAAACTTAGTTTAAGAGGGCATATACATTTCGCGTCGAAAACTACATGTTTTATGGTTTTTCCAAAGGCGATATCGTAACAATGTGAGGAGATTATTTCCTGAAAATTAGGGCTTTAAAAAGATGAAGTCTTTATTTAGTACATAGCAATGCAAAATCATAGTTTTTAATGACGGTTTTTTAGGGCGAAGACAATCCCTTCACAGCGTTTTACGAAAATATGCATCAGAGTTATCTTTTAGGTTGAATACAACCATTATTATAAGCTAAAATACTTTATTTTAAGCGATATTATAATGGAATATATAGTCTTTTAGTGTATAGCAAAACCTAAATTACGAAAATCTTTCGATTTAATATTATAAAATAATATGACTTCACGAAAACTGTCTACTTCAATGTAATTTTTTCCATGTATTTGGTTATAAACATATCTATTTTAATTATTTTATCCAAATACATGTAATGTTAAATATCCAAAAAAAATTTTAGCTCGTTTTATTTTGTCAATTATTTTAAAAATACTATAAATCATCATGCGCAGACGCCGTTCGATTCAGTACGCTCTGGGTAATCCCAACGATAGGACGTATTAGTTTTTCTCACCGACACCGCGCGATCGCGTTGATACACCGATAGGGCTATACTACACTATAACTAGATGCCTATAGCACTATCGAGCATTTTAAACGATTGAGACTTTTATAAGCGATATTTTTGATAGTAAGTAATTTTGAAATATGTTTATGATAGTAATATTTAAATATTAAATGATGTAATGGTGGCAAATTTTCATTTCATACAAATTTTTTTTAGAAATGAATAATGAACGTAAGCAATTCGGATCAAGTAAAAATACAAAATTGTTGGCTGAGCGCCGCAGTTTCGAATCCCACATGGAACAAAAATTTGTATTACCTACAAATAATTGTTCCAGGTCTGGATGTTTGTCCTTGTGAAATTAATGTATTTAAACTGCCCCCACGATGTATTTAAGAAAAATTCCTAGTGTTGAGATAACGTTATGATTAAACAAAGACATGCCATCAAAAACATAACTTGTAAAATAACTAACCAAGTCACGCAATGATGATACGGCCGTGCCGCTGTTTTGTTCGACTTGGCCAGGGCACTACCGTGCCCCCAGATATAAAACATATGAGCCGTGCTTGAGTTGAGTAGCTCAAGGGCGTAGTGCTCGCCGTAAACGCGAACAATCCGGTTTCGATCCCCGCTAATGTTGCCAGGTGTCCCGATTTTCAAGGGTCTAGTGACACGTCCCGATTCACCCTTGATCGGGACGCCAAATGTCCCGATTTTCACTAACCTTCTTATTCTATATTTTAATACATAATTTTGACAGTAAAAATTATTACATCTGTTAAGCTACTACCACATTAAAATATTTTTACTACGACATTGTCTCACCAGTCGAAAAAAAAACACAAAAGTTTTAAACAGAATTAAATTAAAATGAGTGATTTGAAAAATTCAGGGACTGCAAAAAAAAAAAAAAACAAAAAGTTCAAAAATGTTTTAATTTGCCTAAAATGAAAAAAAAAATCAGTTTTTACGATGTTTGGATGAAAAGTTATTCGTTCATGAGATCAGACCTGAATAATAATTATAAAGCACAAAAGTAAAGTAAAGTTACAGTCACAATTTCTCGCATTACTCGCATACTGTGATATTTACAGTGAGCGTTGACCATCTGAGCTACACGGCTCTCAATAAAGCACAAAAAGGCTACAAAGAAACTTATATTTGTAGTCATTGTAGGTGTCCGGATATGAAAACCAAATCCCCGATTATTTTTATCTTCCGTCCCGAAATTTTACTTGCTAGACCTGGCATACACTAATCCTCGCCGACACTAATGAAATTGTTAGTTTGATGAGTTATGTTTACATTATGAAACAGAATAAAAGTTTATCAAATGATATATATTTTATACAATACATATTTTTCAATTAGAACATATATTATAATATACTCAATAGGGTGAAAATGTAAAGCCGACTTCAATTTACTAAAAGAATAAAACAATTTCCACATATTAGCCTTCGATTTCTATACACTATATAAGCCATTATATGGAAATTATTTTTTTATTATTTTAGTTCCAATAGTATCAAAGACAGGTATAATATAATAAAGTATAAATATAATAAAGTGATTCGTGCAACTAAAGGCAACTATTATAGCTTCACGTTCGTCCTGACACGCACACAGAGATAACATTGTATTGTGTGCGTCAATATTACGCCGTTCCAAAGCGATCGCGTAGATTTCGACTTGGACATATTTGAATATGCGCTCTTAATAACATTTTTGAACTTTGTGTTTGACAAATTTTGTATATTTTGGGATTTTGTTGTAAAAGCGTATACATCGCCCTAAGAATGAATTACTGACTCGGTAGAGTCGAGTAACTGGTACTAGCTTGTGTCTGCTCCTAGTATTTACAGAATGAATATCACTTATTTTCGCAAAACTACTTTTATTTTTGTGTACTTATGTACATTACATTTTCATAAATGTATTTAGAGGCCAGAGTTAGTATATTAATTTCCTTAAATTTTTGTCTCGGTGACTCTTTTAGTTTTAAATTATATATTGCTCTAATGGCCCTCTTCTGTAAAATAAATATAATTTCAGTGTCAGTCGCGTGTCCCCATAGCAAACCATACGACATAATACTATGGAAATAACTAAACTATTCTAGCTGTTTCAACACTGGTAAGAGTTCTAATCTTTTTTACAGCATATGCTGCAGAACTAAGTCTGCTAGCTAGTTTTGATATATGGGGGAGCCATTGAAGCTTTGCGTCCAGTGTGATTCCAAGAAAAATGGTGGTATCAACAAGACTCAGTTCCTCTCCATTTAAAATTACATTAGTATTAACATGTTTAACATTAGGAGTTACGAATTTCATACATTTAGTTTTAGTTCCATTCAATTGCAAATTATTAACATTAAACCAATTGACTAACTTAGCTATAGCATTATTTACTTCGTCGTAAGTTAATAACAGTCGTTTTAGTTTGAAAATTAATGAAGTATCATCAGCAAATAATACTATATCATGGTTATCCCCTACTATGTAAAGTAAGTCATTAATATATACAAGAAACAGAAAGGGGCCGAGAATTGAGCCCTGAGGCACACCCATTTGTACAATCGACCCGGAAGAACTCATACTATTGATGACAACTTTTTGCTTTTTGTCACTTAAATATGAAATAATTACTTTAAGAGCATCGCTTCTTACACCGTAGTGTTGAAGTTTCCTGATTAATGTTTCATGGTGAACACAATCGAAGGATTTGGATAGGTCACAGAACACACCCAAAGCATCCTGTGAATTCTCCCATACATTAAATATATATTTAATCAGCTCAACACCAGCATCAGTTGTCGAACGACCCCTTGTGAAACCAAATTGATTTTTATGAAGTAAATTATTTACATTAAAAAAAATTAACATTTGATCAAGAATAATTTTTTCAAAAGTTTTACTAAGTGTTAGCAGTACAGAAATAGGTCTAAAATTAGCGGGGTCCAATGTACTGCCAGATAATAAAGGTATTACTTTACTATGCTTAATTAAATCAGGAAACACACCAGATTATATAGTACATACATACTAGTATTAAAAATAATAGATAGTTGAGGTGCGATTGCAACGGACAACGCTCAGCAACAATTCACTCCCGGCTTGTAGTTGAAGGTTTATCAGATTCTTCATTGTCTAGAGCGATCGCAATAGCCGCTAATTCCAGATTGTCAAACTTTAACATGATTGTAGTCTAGTTACAACACTATTTTTGCTTGGACAAATATACTGCATCATGTTGCAACGGTAATTGCTCGGTCGAGGCCCGCCTTTGTAATTTCAGGCATGGGATCGGTTAGGTAACCGTGCTACGGCCGACACTCGGCTTGAACCCGACTTGGTGTAGTGCGGTCACCCTTAATGGTGCTTTCTTAAGCAATTTTTACGATTAAGTCTTTTAATTAACCTATTTGGTAATATACCAAATATAAACCCCAAAACTGCAATGGGAAGCAGTGTCAAAATAAGCGTCTGCAAGCATGACAATTAAGTCAAATCCTCTGCACTATGGACAGGCCATTGGCTACCAGTGAACTATCTATGGGCTTATCTGGACAATGAGCATGTGGAACACAGATATAAGTTCGATTGAACCTGAGATCTCCTACCTTTTAGGAAGGAATATTAAAGAAACACCATTTATGAATTCACTTACGATTTTTTTTGTAACTTGTAAAGTTATTAAGTATTAAATTATTGTATATAATTTATGCTGCATACGTTCATATTCCTTTTGTAGTATATAAGAGGGTACTATGTAATCCACGCACGGTCTAACGCGCACCCGACTTGTTCTCATTATTAAAAACCACGTATTGAGAAATGGTTGTCTTATTTTAAATGCTCTCTCAGTTTTGGTATACCATACATTGAAATATTATATTACATGTATAAATAATATTTAAATGAATATGTATTAATATATGAGTAAATATATCTACAAATGTAATAATATATTCCTAGGTGACATCTGACATGCAGTGTCGTGGCAATCGGTTAGATATCTAACAATGTTTATTTTGTTTACAGAAAATAGATTGGCATGACTATAAACAAATTGAAAATGAGAGTAAGCGTCAAGGTGAGATTCTCTTGCAATATTTAATTTTAGTATTAATAGCAGTTAAAGTATAAAATGGGTTAACTTTAGTTGTTCATCCTGTGGCATGATTTAGTCGTCGATTATGATTCTAATCTAAGTACAATAGTGTTCTGACAGCAGATTTTTTTGCAGAAATATATAGTTTTCAAGAAATTATTTTCTTAAAGTTTTGAGGTTAATTGGGGTTATATGAGTAAATATCCTGCAAAACAATTTCGTATCTTTTTTTATAAAATAAGGGTGACAAGCAAGCACCCAGTCCACCTCATGGTAAGTGAATTCTGTAGCCAATAGACGTCTACATCTATCTTTGATTAAGAATAAAGAGACCCTGAGGACTATGATGGAGTGCCACAATAGCAATAAAAAGGGTCACTACATTCACCATATGAAACACAACATTATTCTGCTGTTTCACGCTGATGTTCTGTGAGAGTGAGGTTCTTATTGATTAAGCCCAAAATCGCCAAAAAATGTACGTGATAGAGCCATGCTGCAGCTGTATTGTAGCTGCAGAATGAATGGGACGGTTTGACTGGGGTAGGACCTGTATCTAGAAACTATAAGAAAATAATAGGAAACCCTTTGCTGCAGCATGCAGTTGTGAAAAGGACCGGTTTCAGTGATAATACTGGTTTTCAGTCTGACCCATACCCAAACCCAAACTAAGTTACTTACAGAACTTCGGCTTATTTTATTTCACGCTTCTCAGTTAGAATAACTAATCATCACCATCATCATTACAGTCATTCACAAGTCCACTACTAAATATAGAACTCTCCAAAGGAATGTCACAAAGCACGGTCTGCAAGCCACCTGCATCCATTGATTTCCTGTAATGTGGATTTATACAAAGAAAGAAACATTCATTTGACCGACATACAACATAAAGAAACATAGAAATCCGTACACATTACGAATTGGTGATCATCATCATTACAACCCTTCAAAAGTCCACTGCTGAACATAGGCCTCCCCCTAAGAAATGCCACAAAGCACGGTCCTGCGCCACCTGCATCCATCGACTTCCTGCGTGTCTTACCAGGTCGTCACTCCATCTAGTGGGGGTCGCCCTACACTTCGCCTACCAGAAAAAACTGCCACTCAGGAACCTTTTTTCCCCCCATCAGTTGTGGGTTCTTCGTACTATATGGCTAAACCATTGCCACTTCAGCTTACTAATCTGTTGGGCTATGTCAGCTACTCTGGTTACTGCGGATATCGTCATTTTTGAATTTATGATGCAGAGAAATTACGAGCATAGCCCTCTCTATAGCTTGCTGAGCGATCTTGAGCTTCCTCATATGGCTAGCAGTGAAGAACCATGTCTCAGATCCATAAGTCATCACTGGCAACTCGCACTGAATAATAAAAAAGAATTAATATGTAAAGTAAATTAATGAAATTTAAAGACAAATTAGTTATATGTAAACTAATATATTATTTACTGCTTTCAAAAGTGCATTCTCTATTATTAAAACACTTTCATTTGTTAAAACATTTGGTTTGAGGGCTTGTTTAGCCAGTGCCTTTCTTTCCAGTATCACTATATATCCATGTTTCCTCTTCTGTCACAATGTCATAAACAGATTGGCTGTGGAAGGAAAGGAGTGATCTCCCGCCGAGAGCTGCCGGATCTTTGATAGCGCGATTTAGGCTTCGATGTGTTTCGATCGTGGCGCAACGACCGGAGGTTATTAGTGCAATCCGATTGCCAGTGCGTCCTTAATGCTGGTGAGGAATGCACGTTGTATGTGTAAGGGCAAGTGACGCCAGTGCGAACGATATGCCGGTGTGTAATGCATGCCGTACTATGCACTTGCAAGTGATGCCAGTGAGAACGATTGGCTGGAGCAAGTGCCGGAAGTCTGCCTTATAAATCTGCAGTGAGTCGAGATGAAGACAAGTAGAGTGAATGGTAGTAGGTAGGGGTTCTTGAGGATAATGACGAAATCTTGAAATTGTAGTATCCGAAGGTTGTTGGTTGCATGTTCACGTCACGTTGGGTAGTCACCAGTTTGACCGTGGAAGGAAAAGAAGAGGTTTCCCGTGTTCAGCCCAGTGAGCGGCAAATGCTCCGAGTAGTTCCGAGCTATTCAATATATACTGTTTTTACTTCGAAAATTTGATATCACAATTTAGATTGTGACGACAGCGCCGTTACATCAATTGAAAGTCTCGAGCCCATTTTTCTTATAGGATGAGTTTATGAGGAATACAGCGACATATCAAGGTTTTCTTACTTTTATATGTAATTTTTTTAGAATTTGGCTTATATGTACCAATACCCATACGTCCTCGAATCTCCTCATAGATCAGTGCGCCAGTTTTCTTCAATTATTTGCCTGACAGTTACCACCTTTTCCTTACTGATTACAGGAGGGTCGACCTACACGAATTTCACTATGCTGCTTAAATGAGGTTCTTACCTCCCAAAAGAATTTTCAAAACGAGCAGTGCTATCTTGAGGAGAGAGTGAACTTTCAGTGAGCGTTCATACCGTTTTGCCAGGGATGACGATATTGAACTTGTGATAAAAAACGAATAGACATGAGACTTTTCGCCAAAAATTATTATCTTAAACTAAAAAAAATGACACAACCAGAATTCAAACATAATAAATGAGCGGCAAGGAATTGCAAAAATTTCTTTAAATTTTAATAAATTACATTGAGAAAAAAAAGTAATTTATGGCAATAGTTTTTTTATATAATATCCCAGCATTTAAAGTTACAGCCTATATACATCCCACTGCTGGGCTCATGGGCCTGCGAGTCCGACTCGCACTGAATCACTTTTTTTTCAACTTTTAGTTTTATTTTAATAAATAGTTTTTTTGGTTTAAGCGGAGCTCTTTTACTTTAGATTTATTACCTCTTTATCTAGAATATTCAATCTGAGTAAGTAAAGTGTGTAAATAAGATTCTTAAATTGTAAAAATAATAATTGGATTTGAACATCTTAGGTAGGTATTTAGTTTTATTAATTTAGAAAATATTAATCTCACAATTAATTATTGTAATAACATAAATGTATCACACAGCTAACGCCCTCATTAGCAATGTAAAAGTAAAATAAAGTTACAGCCTATATACGTCCCACTGCTGGGCTCAGGCCTCCCCTCATTTCTGAGAGGGTTTAGGGCAAGGAAGTGTCCGCCGCGCTGCCCAAATGCGTGTTGACGAACTTCACATGTCTTCGAAATATTTTTTTTTCTTATTCCTCAGACATGCAGGTTTCCTCACGATGTTTTCCTTCACCGCCGAGCACGTGGTAAATCAGCACTTAAAATTGCAATTAACAATTTTATTGGTGCCGGCGGGGATCGAACCCGGGTTACTCGCGTTCTGTTATTTTATATTTACAGCGAGCGTTAACCACTGAGCTACCACGGCTCTTACTGCATTTAATGAACTTAAATTACTTTCAGGACTTGGAGAACATGGCCTGCCAGCTCAGCTGCCTAAATCGGAGGCTGAGTTAGAGGAACAGTTGTATTCTGTGAACGGTTTCAACGGAGCACTGAGCGACAAAATCCCGTTAAACCGATCCCTCCCGGACATAAGGCACCCTGGATGTAAAAAGAAACTATACATAGAATCCTTGCCGACGGTCAGCGTTGTTGTACCCTTCCACAATGAACATTGGAGCACGCTACTGAGGACTGCGTACAGTGTCCTCAACAGGTCTCCAGAGTTTCTCATAAAGGAGGTGTTTCTAGTCGACGATGCCAGTACAAAAGGTGGGGTTTTAAACATATGCATTTGACTTAAGAATTTATGCGTCGTAAATTTTTTTTTGTAGGATAGAGTGACAAACGAGCACACAGTCCACCTGATGGTAAGTGGTTTCTGTGGCCCATAGTCATCTATATCCATCCTCAATTACGAATTAAAATGCAGATGCGTTGTCACCCGTGAGGACTAAGATGGAATGCCTTGTTTCCAGTAAAAAGGGTCTCCGGTTCTCTACACTCACCATACGAAATACAGCAGCATTAAGTTACTATTTCACGCTGGTATTTTGTGAGAGCGTGGTCCCTCCCTGGTCGAGCCGACCCATTCGTGCTACAACTATACTTCTAATATAAATGAATCATGGTTCTACCACGTATAAATATAACTGCAGCATGGCTCTACCACGTATATAAATATGTGTAGAATCTATCAACCCAAGTTTAGCTGGGTTATCTTTACATATAAATCTATAATTCTTGTACTTGTGTTTGTCACTGAACTCTTTCTAAACGGTCGGATTGATTTTCATGAAATGTTTTGTGTGCGTTTGTGGGAAATAGATCCAGGGAGAAAGATTCACAATTTGATCCGGTAGGTGGCGCTGTTTTCGAGATCCAAAAATTACCCGAGCGAAGCCGCAGTGGATCGTTAGTGGTCTATAAGAAAGAAAGGAGTGAAAAGTTTTTAAAACATAAGAATTCGTAAGGGACACCTTAACAAGAGACCACCACGTTGCTTCATTACCGATTTGTGATATTTGAATTTTCGAAATAATTTTCTGTTTTTAATTATAATTAATTAATAATAATGTACATTCCTTTTAGTCGACTTAAAAAGTGACGAGGTTCTCAATTCCACCATATGTTTTTCTGTAAGTATATTACGCGATATGTTCGTGAACAGTGAACCGATATTGATGATATTTTATTTCTTAATTAGGTTATACTTTAGCGTTAGACTTATCTAAAGGAGAACTAAATCCACTCATGATTTTTTTTAATATTATACTTCTAGCTGGTACCCGGGGCAGTGCCGCTGCAGGAGAAATAATTGTGGAAATATCTTTTTAAATTTAGAAGGGTTATGTTGTTTAATTAGGATATTAAAATTGTATGACATATGACTTAAAGTAAATTTGTCGTTACGATAGGCACGCCAGCTACTGTTAGTTAATTGTACTATGCTTATAACCTTCGCGCAAGTGCAAGCAATAAGTTGAAAAGATTCTACCGCAATGAAGCACAAGCAGCATAAAAAATGAATAAACGAACGTTATTTTTTATATATTAAATATCTTAGCACCGACTTCGAAGCTATTTTGTACAAATAATTTTATTCTTTTTAGTTTCATTTTCTAAATATTTAATGCTAGCCTTTAGTCGTTCGCTTCGACGAACCTACTCGTATATATACGTATTGATAAATGTCAATATGCAATACTTAGTAGCCGTGATTCGCCCATTATTATACCCACGGGATGATAGGTACAGGTTAGCGGATTCTCTCACATGAATGTATCGCTGATAATAACCCATTTTTATCAACCACTATAATGAATTACATTAGTTTGAGTTCTCTTGCTTAACATTCATTTTGATAACTGACAATTCCCCATTTGATAATTACTTAATTTCTTGACTTTACAATTGTTTAATTAATTAGGACGACCTATGTTCATTCTGTTCATAAAATTACATTATTAGAAAGTAATAAACATTATTAAAAAAATATTAACTGTAACTATTAGACATGTGTCAATCACTCAATTTAGCGACCCAATCATTCTAGTACATTTCGTCACGCGTGCTGGTACATTCGGATCGATCATTCAAATGGATCATTTCAGGCTCCAGTACTCTGTGAGTCTGTGAGGTCTATTGGGAATCGAAAATTTTCTATTTGAGATTTGTAATAGCGCCATCTATTACATGCTATAGGTAATAAAGTCATTTTATTGAACTAAAACTTGACTTTCAAGGCGGTAAGTACAATCGACGCTAGATGGCATAAACACAAAAACCTCAAGTTATCATATATTTAACAAATTTGTTTGTTCTTAAATTTTATTCCTAACAATACACAATTTCATCTTACTTTACATGTCTAAAAATAGAGATTGTAACATTTATTTGCTACAGAATTAAACTTTTACCAATCTTATACTTATATTAAGGTGGTTGATAATTATCATATTAAATAAATCATTTATCATGAAATCTTTTTAAAGTGTTATTTTTAGTAAACTCCACGAAATCATATTTTTAACTCATAGATGTAACAAATAAATATAATAAAATGTAAAATATTTTTTATTTAGGTAACAATATTAAACAATATTATAAAAAAACCCTTAAATAATAAATACCCCTGATACTCTGCAGCGTAGACAGAAAATGCTAGCATTCTCCGTCTGCGCTTTGCAGTCTGCATTTTAATTCGATTCGCTTGTTTATTGAGATCACTCGGGATTCGGTCGGTTTTAGACTCATTCACAATTCAAACAAATCGCGGGTTAAAAAGGTACCGTCAATTGTTTGTGATTGGTTGTACTGGTACATTCAAAACAAATGAATGAACTGTTATACCCCGTATTTGTTAGCCTTATTGCTGCACTGCCCCTTAATAATGTCGACTTAGCCTTAAGGTTCAGTGAATATAGCAGTGGAGCAGTTCGGCCAAGGAGTCTGCTTCCATCTTCAAACCTGCTCGGTTGTCTACGGACCTTAGTTAATTTCTAACCAGTTTGTAATATTTAATTCATTTATACTCAATTAAATTTCAGTGTTAAATAAATCTTTTTTTAAAAACCTATTAGCCCGTCTCCGTATAACATTTTGGTGGCAGCGGTGGGATACGGAAATCATCAGTGCCAAGTGAAGTGGAACCGCTCAGCAGACTCGCTCCGTATCCTAAATCTTATAAAATTAAATATTATCCTGTGTCGTCCCGGCGCGTCCTAGTGAAATAAATATAGTGCAAGTGCTATACCCGTCGCTACGGCCTGGACGTCCATCCATTACGGAGACCCAATTGATTCGTGGAAAGGAATCCACATAAGCCGCGATTGCATCCTGAACCGCAATCATCAAGAAAATTAGCCTGAAAACATCCATTCTCATAAAATAAATATCGTCAGATATTTATTATTATATTATCAATAACTAGAATTCGTCGAGTTCCGTTCCAGTGCGCTAGAGAAGACGCGCCTATCATCGGAATGTTCCCGCTTATCGTCGCAGCCATCGCCCACGCATTCTTAATACTGTGAGTCGTTGGTCATTGTTTTGTCTAGACTGTATAAGCCAAAGTTTCTCAACCTTTTATGTTCCTTTGTTCAGTTGAACTTAAATGTTTTAAAATTTATTAATATTCTATTTTTGTGATTGTTCTATATTATTGTGTGTTCTATTCTGATTATTTTTTTTTGTGTTCTTTTGTATTTGTTTTGCATTATTGTTGCGTTTTCTTTAGATTTATACATATTTTATTATGCCAAAAGTAGTTAAAGGGGAAGAAGCCAGTCTAGCCTTCGAATTCTCAGAACCGGGTGTTAGCGACGCCCCGAAATCCACCCCAGCTACTCCAAGAGTCATTAAGGCCAGTATTGCAACTACTGCAATGACCGAGATGGATTTGAACACCTTATTTAAGTTCATTAAACCATATGACGGTAGTAGGGAGACCGTAAATTCTTTCATAATTAATTGTAACAATGCTTACGAATTAGCCTCAGAGTCTCAGAGACAAATTTTATTTAAATATATCATTAGCCAGCTTCAAGGTAAAGCGGAAATTGCCTGCTCTATAAAAGAATTTAAAGATTGGGAACAGCTCAAAGACTTTTTAAAGACACAATTCAGTGAACGTAAACACTACGCTCACATTCTCACTGAATTACAGGAGAGCAAGCAAAATCCACATGACAGCGTTAACCAATTCGCACTCCGTATAGAGACCTGCCTCTCACAGTTATTAACGGAAATATCCCTATGCAACACCAAAGCGAAAGAGTTACCAGGTAGGGTTGCGGCCATGGAGGACCTTGCTCTGCATCATTTTCTTATGGGGTTACACCCCCGAATTTCAAATATCGTTAGATGTAGGTCTCCAAAAACGCTTAACGAAGCCATACATTTAGCCATCTCAGAAGAGCGAATCCAACAGAGCCTTTATAAACGACCACCGCCAGAAACAAGGTATGAACAAAAACCTAAACAAAATTTTGTTAAATCTTTTAATTCCAAACCAACCATTCCTCAAAAATACTCACAGTATCCTAATATGAATCAACAGAGCTCGCCTAACGCCTTCTGCCGATATTGTAAGACGGCGGGGCATGACATTATGGCCTGTAAAAAACGGGAATATGCTAATAACCGATTTAGGTACCAAAACAATCCGTCAACCTCCCAATTCCAGCATAGGGCACAACCAAGGGTTAATTTTATAGAGCAGCCCAATCGTGAGGTCGACCAAGAGGAATTCCATACTTTACATAATGATGAGCAGTTTTTAAACGGTCAAGAGTCTCGTCACGGTGTCGCCCGAGACTAAACCCAAAAGCCGGCACCAACCATTCCTTCCTCATATCCAAGGACCACAAGGGTAACCAGCCCCAAGCAAGAGTCCATCAATCCAAGGACCACACGGGTAACCAGCCCCAAGCAAGCGTCCATCAATCCAAGGACCACATGGGTAACCAGCCCCAAGCAAGAGTCCAATATCCCAAGGACCACACGGGTAACCAGCCCCAAGCAAGAGTCCATCAATCCAAGGACCACACGGGTAACCAGCCCCCACCAAGCGTCCATCAATCCAAGGACCACATGGGTAACCAGCCCCAAGCAAGAGTCCAATATCCCAAGGACCACACGGGTAACCAGCCCCAAGCAAGCGTCCATCAATCCAAGGACCACATGGGTAACCAGCCCCAAGCAAGTGTCCAATATCCCAAGGACCACAAGGGTAACCAGCCCCAAGCAAGTGTCCAGCTATCCAAGACCCA